GGAGGCGGGAGCGTGGGGATGGAGGTTGGTCCCCTCCACTGTGCACAGGGAGGGAGAAGCAGGATGGTCCTGGTGGGATGGAGATGGATGGTGAGAGCCAGGCAGGAATTCAGGCCCATAAGGCAAAATCCCGGTACCCCTAGGGAACATGACAGCATCCGTGAAACCTGGATTCTCGCTTTCCTTGGGAAAAGTGTGAGCATGTGGTCCCAGCAGAGCAGGTAGCCCCATGGTGAGAGCTGAAGGCCAAAAGTTGGCCATATCCCATCGGCAGGAGGGAGGAGAGCAGCGCGCTCTGTCCATGCGGGAACGCGGCCACCCACAGCCCATGTCCATGATGGTCCGTGGGGACGAACCGCTCAGCCTGGTGCAGGTCTCGCGCCGAGCAAGCGCGCTCGGTGGGGATAAATAAAAGCTTTCAGCAAAATTAGCAACGGAGGGAATAGATAAACACTAAGCAGATATTGACTTCTGTTGAGGTGAATGTCAAGATTTATTGACCTGGGGAGGTAAATATTGACCAAGGCAAAGCTAAGGTCAATAATTAACTCAAGGGATGATAAATCAACGCACAACGAAACATGAACTCGGGGCGTGTGCCAGTGTGGCCGCTTTGAACGTCTTGAGGAACCTCTTGGCTCCTTGTGAGACTCTCAGCTCCAAAAGCTGGGAAAGAGGAGTGTGCTGGCCAAGGATGGAATTCCCAGGCTGGAGGACTCCACTTTGTGGTGCTGAATCTGCTTTGATTTGGAGACACTGAGGGTTCACCCATCCCAACGTCACTGAGCCCAGAATGGAGGTAGTTCAGTAGCCAAATCCAGACGATAGCAGCACGAGCGACTGGCAATTCCAGGAGCAACGAGGATGCTGGGAAGCACCACTGGGATGCCAGGAAGCGCCGCCTTCCAGCCTTGCACAACTCTCCAGGAACGGCCGTGGTTGCTCCGCGCGGATCCGATGGGTCGTGGGCTCCCTGCGCAGGGAGGGAGCCTGGCGGGCAGGGCCGCGCGGAGGGTCCGCATTGTCCGGGCCTCATAAATCACCGCTCTTTGTGGCCGGCCCCATGCGTGGCCCAGTTCGGGTTAAATCCTAAACAGGGTCCCGGGCTCTTTCAGACGGATAAAGGGCCAGGGGGTGGAGCAGCAGGGAGGCGTCCCGACTACATAACACTTTCATTGCCCTGTCAAAATAAAGAATACAGGCACTGCCACCCCCTTTTGGGGCATATATCAGCCAGGCTCCTGACACGGCATTTCAGGATGAGATTCGTGTGGGAGAAGTGCCCCCAGCCCCATTCCCATCCCAGCGCAGGCCATGGCTGCCTTGGATGCAGCATTCGGGGAGCTTGGACTTCGGTGGGCTCTTATCCGGACGTGCCGGATCGGTGCTCGAGCTCCCACATGGATGTTGCAGCTCCTAACGGCTCTTCCAGCCACCTCCTCGGAGTCCCATGTGCTGTCAACCCCCAGCTCCCTTGGGAAGCAGGAGCCACTCCGAGATCTCCTTGCCTTTCCCGCACATCCCGGCTTCCTAAGGCCGAGGTACAAATCCGCCATGGATCTGCCTTAACAGCTCCAGTGATAAAAATGCCAGTTTATTGGAAACACATGGAGTATTTATAGGGGACATCAAAGCGGGAGGGAGGTTTACATAGCAACAGGGCAGATTAAGCTGAAGGCATCTGCTTTTTCGGCAGCCATGGGGCTCTCCGGAGGCACAATAAATTGCCGGCACACTGGCCCTTTCATTCCCTCCTTTGGGAAAAGCAAAGGTTGGCAAAACAAAATCCAACCACATGCCCGGCCATGTAAAACACGCCAGGAATGGGGGAGTCGGGTTACAGGGTGCTCGGCAGCCGCTCGCTCCAGTGCTCCGCTGGGAATTCCCGCGGGAAGGAGGGTCCCGCGGCCCCACGGAGCAGCACGAGCTGCCGCCAGGCTCAGCCTGCGGCGCTGCCGGCTCCGGCGCGATCCTCGTCCTT